AACTGCGAATGGTGTAAACAAGGAAGGAAGATGGGATTCACCAACAATTCTGGTTCCGTGACCTAACGTTTTCCATTTCATTATTAACATTTCAATTTTTCTGTTACAAATTGATATGTGTTAAACATAAAACGCTCTTTTTACGTCTTTTTAATTATAATAATTTATTTTCATTCCCACTTTAAGTCATTTTCATTTATTTCTTTATACTCTTGTTATTATGAAGCTAAATATTGTGGTTGACTTGTTGGTATGTGTAAATGAAGCTAATTGAGAGTTTTTGTGAAAACAGCAAATGCTGCAGCATTAGTGCAGCGTCGACCTGATTCATGCAAGGCTTTTTGGATGGCTTAATGGATAAGACGCTGACTTTTTGAAGATGGAGGACAGCTGTAAAAGCTGGATTTTTAGTGGAAAAATCTGAAGTTAGATTTTGGTTAAGGCTTTGTACTTTCTAGTTACACTTTTGATTAGTTTGTAACTTGCTTTTAGAAACTTAGCCTACAAGTTTTTAGATTTTTGTCTTTTAGTGCCCCTTGTTAGTATAAATATAGGCCTTGGGGTGCCTTCTAAACAATCTCTCCATCTCATCTTTAATCCTACCTTCCATCTTTTCTCTCATTTGCTAGCTTTTGTAAACCCTCTCCAAGAGTGCTTTTAATTTTAAGTATTCAAGTTCTTCATCTTTTTCTTTATTTACTTTCTCGTCTTTTATTTTCCGTCATTTATTTTTTCGTCTTTTATTTTATCGCAATTTACATTCCATCATTTATTTTTCGCAATTTACATTCTCGTCATTTACATTCCCGTCATTTATTTTATCGTCATTTACATTTCCGTCATTTATTTTATCGTTATTTACTTTACTCAATTTACGTTTATGTCTTTATTTTCCGTCATTTATTTTTTACTTTCCGTTATGAGTAGCTAAACTTTTATAGCTTGGGTGTAAGACGGAAAGGTGAGATTTTCAAACCAAACGAAAGTAGCCAAGTGTTTTCAAAAACGACGTTCTAATGTTTCATTCGAGTTTTTATAAAACCAAGCACACTTCTTGACGGGTTGATCACTTGAAAGTGTTAAAGTGCAATGGACTTAGAGATAAGCCATCATTAAGCACGTCAACTTGGATGACATAAGAGGTAGACTTGAGAAAGTTGCCGACAAGGAGACTTGTCATTTTTGTTTTTCAAAACGTAACTCCCGACGGGTTGGTCACTTGTCAAAAGTGTCAAAGTGYGATATATTCMGAGATGAAATATCAAGAACACRCCAACTCGAATGATATGGGAATCGACTCGAGAGAGTGATTTTTAACGAAGAGATTTGTTTATCCATATATTTTGAAAACACCATTATGTCACTATCCCCGGTCTGGACACCACATAGAGATATGGGTGGAAATTTATAAGATAGTGAAATGGTGAAGTCCGAGAGGAATGCCTTCAAAATAGATGGTGGAACTTAGTTTCGAAACACTGCTTGTTGTAGCATTCCTATAGCATTGCTACAGTATTGGCTGCTGGAATTTGTGTTTGGATCTTACCTTAAGTCTTACACCCTTGCTTCTTTTATATATTCTGTATTCTGTTTTGGATCACCTTAAAATCAAACAAAAGTCTTCAAAATCGTCATCTGAAATCATCTCTTTCATTGGACTCTAATCTAACTTTGGCTACAATCCCTGTGGACGATAATCCGGTACTTGTACCACTTTATTACTTGGAAAGACGACGTTGGGCCATATTGTATACTTGCTTTTTGGCCCAATTTCATTAAGTCTAAAGGTGTGAAATATAACCGACCACAAATAAATAATAAGTAAACTTTTGGTTCCTATAGTTTGTTGTTTGTAACTAACTACTTGATCCATTGTCTTTAAAGGGGGTGGTGGATGTTGGTGAGTAAAGAAAAGGGAGGAATAGTCGTCGATGGCTCGATAACACCTTCATTTTTACGAGAACATGAGAACACCCTTATCACATGTAATAATGTACGTGATGGGACCTGGTGGTGTGCGGACGAGGTGTCCTGGCACTTAGGTCGCACCAAAGGTCGTTTGCATCCATGATTTATAATCACATGTGATAGATTATAGTATCACATCACATGTGATAGTACACGTGAGCGGGCTTAGTGGTGTAAGAGCGATTTGGCCAGCAGCCTAGATCGGGCCAGAAGTTCTATGTCTCTTATTTAATATCGCATTTGATGGAATATAGTATCACATGTGATATCCTATAGTAAAAGGGTGTTCTCGAGCCAGAAGTTCTATGTCTCTTATTTAATATCGTGTTTGAACCTTTCCCTGTCTATACTACTTTACAAAACAGATTTTGTATAAGTTTTAAAACAACTTTTATTGCACTTTGTATTACTAATTTATGGAGTAGTCTTAGAATCTCTTAATTACAATTGTTAAAGCATTATGTACAATTTATGCTTTACTTTTTGTAGGGTTTAATGTTTCAATTTACAAGGCTGTAGTTTCGAAAGGGTTTTGATATTAGTCATGGCTTCTCTCTTGATTCTCGATTTATACTCTCTCGAGAACTCTCTCGATTCTCGATTTAGACGGTCGAATGGACAGTGGCTATTGAGTTTTCCAAGATTAAAATCCTTAGGCATACTACCTATTAATCTTTAGGATTCAACTCCTCATGCTCCCTTTCATTCATCGCTATCTCCATGGTCACACTCTCGTCGAAATCAGGTTAGCCGTCTTTTTTTTTGTGTCGGGTTTCATCTTCTTCTCATTCTCAACTATCAATCATATTCTTTTGCACAAATAATTACAATTACAAAGGGGTCTGTTATCATACACATTCCACATAAAAAAGATCTCTTTTTTTTACGGATAATTGTAGAAGCTACTAATACCAACATTTCGCTTAGATGGCTATTTGAATCTAACGTAGGTATAAATGTCGTAGGCTTATAAAATCTTGAAATTTTTTGATATTTCAAAACTAAATAAATCTTAATAAACCTTTTACATGCCACCGCATTGCACGAATATACAACTAGTGTGTATGTGTATGTGTGTGTGTGTATAGGGAAATGTTCAAACGAGAACTCCTGTGATTTATGAGAATGCAAGAACAACCTATTAACATCATGTTGTGATAACAAATTCTTGAAATTAAAATTTAAATTTAAAAAGATTCAAAAGGGTAATAATGGAAATCAATATCATAAAATCTTAAACACGATTACACGATCACATTATAATCCTCAAAATTAGAGTGATTATCCTTATCTTTATTAGGTATCAATTAAAAAGTTGATTTCAAGAAGAAATCAATGAACAAATAATTCGTAAAGTCTCAGGAATCAAACATCAAACAGTAATCGATCAAGAAGAAGCGTTTGCATGCAACAATCAAACAACAAGAAGAAGGAACACAGTTTATTCAAGGTATCTTTCACAATTACTCGATTTGAACATGCTTTCATTCGATTAGAATTAGTTTATCACACATTTATCACAACAATTACTTCGATTAAACGATTTTGTGTGATATGGGTGTGATATGGGTGTGATAATTATGTGATATCAATATCACTCGATTTGATCATTATTTCGATTGGTTAGGTTAGACATTATCACAACGATTTCGGATGGTTTCGATAGGTTAGGATTAGACAATCATACATTTATCACAATGATTACGGGCAAAATCCACTAAACGATTTGGTGTGATATGAGTGTGATAATCAAGTGATATCACTATCATAACATCTCACTTGATTTGATTATGGTTTCAATCGGTTAGGGTTAGACAATCACACATTTATCACAATGATTACTCATGGTTTCGATAGGTTAGGATTAGACAATCACACATTTATCACAACGATTACGGGCGAMATCCACTAAACGATTTGGTGTGATATGAGTGTGATAATCATGTGATATCACTATTATAACATCACTTGCGCACTCAATTTGATCATGGTTTCGATCGGTTAGAGTTAGACAATCACACATTTATCACAACGATAGACAATCACACATTTATCACAACGATTACTCATGGTTTCGATAGGTTAGGATTAGACAATCACATATTTATCACAACGATTACGGGCGAAATCCACTAAACGATTTGGTGTGATATGAGTGTGATAATCATGTGATATCACTACTATAACATCACTTGCGCACTCAATTTGATCATGGTTTCGATCGGTTAGAGTTAGACCATCACACATTTATCACAACGAGTACTCATGGTTTCGATAAGTTATGGTTCCACTCGATTCATCATGGTTTCGATAGGTTATGGTTACACAATCACACAATTATCATAAGGAAAGAGAAAAGATTATCACAAGTGAAGAGAAAAGAATGGAAACGAACTTGCAGGAAAAAAAGAGATAATTATAATTAATTAAAATAAAATAAAAATAATAAAAATTACTTAATTACATTACTGCCCTTATTAATTTATTTATATTTAATATAAATTAATTTATTAATTAAAAAAGTTTGAGGTTATTGGGTTGTTCTCGCATTCTCGTAAATCAGAGGGTTTTCGTTTGAACCTCCACCTATATATATATATATATATATATATATATATAACATAATATAAAATAAACCTTTTACACATTGCGTTGATACGTTCGGCTAAAAACATGCAAGACGACTTTGCAAGCTTTGATTCACCTTATTGGTGCATTGACTCGGCAAAGATTCTAGACCCACCTGTGACATAAGTTTATGAATAACCCTTACCTTATCGGTTGCAAACCGAGGTTATTACATGTATTTAAACAATATTAATAGGGAAAAATTTAAAAAAACAAATATGAAAATTATATATACATAAACAATGAACACGTAAGTTATTTGCATGATTGTGCATATATTTTTACAAAAACATTGAAGTACAGTTGATCCAAATCAATACGATCATAAAGAATTTCTAAATCAATTGTATAGAACATTAAGAAGAATCTAGGAATGCTTTTGAAATGAAGGAAAAGCGAAGAAGATGAAGAACACCAGATGCAGTGGACGCAAAGTGGTACCCAAATGGATCCTCATTATCAGCATTTGCAGCTTCGTCTTTGGCATGTTCTTCACCAACAGGTCTAATTCCAAAACTAAAATTAGGGATTTCTTAATGATTTCACCTATGATCCATTGTTTGAGTGTATTTCCAAAAATAGAAGTTGGAATGTTTGATCAAACACGTATTTGATTAAATCCAAAACTAAAATTGGGGGTTCTTCTGATGCTTTTTTGAATCCATTGATCTGTTCAATGTGATTTAGGTTTTCGAGTGGTTTTTTTTTGAATCCATCGAGTGGTTTTTTTTTTTGAATCCATCGAGTGGTTTTGTAATGATTATTGCTGGTTTTGACGAATTTTTAGGGTGTGGGATCCGCTTGATTCAGATGGAAAGGTAATGCGGCGGCGAGAACAAGAAATCAAAATCGTTTCCGATGATTGCATCACAAACAAGGTTAAGTTGTTCATCAAACAACTTTTCATTATGAAATAGTGCTTTTTCGAAAACAATTTACGAACAGTTTTCTGAAGTGACGTTTATTAATTAATCTGATGTGATCATGATCGATTTGATTCAGGATAACGATTTACTAGGAGCAATTCACAAATCTGATGAAGCAATCCGGTGAGTAATTTGATGTCATTACACTTTTCTCGTGATTTATCAATTTATTACACATTTCATATGTTCATGGTGAGAGTATGGAGTGTTGGTAGTTCAACCATTTCCATTTTTGGGAGTTATTCAAATTGCAATTACTTGTTTGTATGTTGCCATTATTACAAAAGTTAAGTGATGTTGATTTGTGATGCAACTTATGGGACTCGAAACAAAGATGAAACCTATTGATCATGTGAATATCTAGGAAGAATCTCTTCTAAAGCTCAATGATTTAACGAATACCGATTACAATTAAAGCAAATAAATAAGAGTCTCAAACATAAACAGGTATAGGAAAGATGATAGGCCATACTAAAAGCATCAAACTGAAAATGAAAAATAGCAAAAAAACCCAAGCATCTCAAAACATGATTAAAACGATGTGTTTTCGCCTAAAAATCTCGTAGGCCGTTCGGGTCCTACCCAGGGCATGTTCCTTGTTCCAAGCTTTGAATAGGTGTATTGTGGGCCTGAAACAGATAACCGTACAAAAGCTAATTGCAATTAAGCACAACACCCCCTGTGTTGGCCCAGTCATGGATCGTCATGAACAATAAGGCATGGTCCTTCACGCTAGGCCCACATCAATTTGGATTCACGAAGAGTTCCTTATTTGATCAATATTCAAATGTGCAAGTTTACATACTAGAAAAGCTTGAAAAAGTTAAGAGGGTATGTAAAAGTTACGAGCTTACACAATTGTGATTTACTTTTCGTACTGAAATATAATTGAATACTCGTTTATAAATATAATGATCTAATATTTGACTGATTGTTGGAGGTGTATCAGATCATTGGGAAACTCGATTTCAAAGTTGCGAATGGAGCTCCCTGGTGCCCAAAGTTCACTCGAGAAAGGTTACCATGGCAATTTGCAAGCAAACAAGACGATTTCCGAGAAAGATATGAGAAGGAAAAAGGCATTTGTGGTTATCGGGATTAACACTGCTTTTAGTAGCAGGAGGAGGCGCGACTCGGTTAGAGAAACATGGATGCCTAGGGGTACTTTCTTTTTTCTTTTTTTATAGCAACGGGATTAATACTGCTTTTGATTGTGTCTACTCGAGAAAAAAGTATATCAAGAGTCAAATTGTGCTAAAAAAATGCATTTGGGTGGTATTTGTACTCAAAATAAATGTTTTAAGGTATCATTCAGATGATTGTCGATGAAATCATGTGCTCCTTACAATACATGTCTTAAAACACTATTTATGTGACTGCTAATCATATTTTGTGCAGTGAGACTAATAATGAACGAAGCTTTGTTCTTGACTAGGTGAAAAGCTAATTCAGCTCGAAAAGGAGAAGGGTATTGTCGTCCGTTTCATTATTGGTCATAGGTAATTTGATTTTCTATTTCTTTTCAGTGAATGTTTATTATTTAAAAACATTATTATAATATATGACAATGAATGGTGCACACACACACACACACACATATATATATATATATATATATTGTGTGAAATGCCTCAACTACCCTTTACAAAAAAATCGTGTGAAAAGTCTCAAATACCCTTTACTACAAGAAGAAACACAACTTTTTAGTTTCAAAATACATAGAAAACAACTCTCGGTATTGTTATGTATCGATTAACTCTCTCATTATATCATATTTGCAACGAGTGGTTGATTTTTGGACCATTTTTCTTGTGAAATCATTAATAAGACACTATGGTTTACAAAAATGAACTATTACTGATATATTGTAGAAAATACAAATGCAAAAAAGAACATATTGCTTGAAAATTATCAACTTTTTTCATCCCCTACAGAACTTAACAAAACTTGTCCTCCACTTTTCTGCAGTGTGACATCTAAAAGCATTTTAGATCGAGCCATTGACTCTGAAGAATCGCAACATAAGGACTTTCTGAGGCTCGTAAGATCAACCGCATATTTACTCGATAATTACCTTTAAGCTCAACCTTGAAACAATACGATGTTCTCATCCCTGCAGGAACATGTTGAAGGGTATCATGAACTAACCGCCAAAACAAAAACGTTCTTCGCTACTGCATTCGCCAATTGGGATGCGAAATTCTATGCCAAAGTCGATGATGATGTTCATGTCAATTTGGGTATATAACGTCCCCAACCTTTTTCTTCCGTCCCAAAGAAATTGCAAAATCTCATTTGGGATTTCTCACATCAACTTTAACTTTTATTTTCCATGAAAAATTTTCAAGCTGAAATTACTTATTTGCCCATTGTCATTGTTTTGCAGGCATGTTAGCTTCAACTCTTGATAGGCATCGATCAAAGCCCAGGGTTTATATAGGATGCATGAAATCGGGGCCTGTCCTTTCTAAAAAGTAACTTCTTCCATACTTTTTCTTGTAAAAAAATTTATAATATTTGATTGAACAGGATATTTCCCCTTTAATAATGATAAAATAAAGGGAATGGCCGAAAATAAACACTACAATAAAAGTGTTGTAAGGATTCTTTTAAGCATCTTAACAAGCTTTTTCAGACACTTTTGAAACCAAGTTTTCTGTTTGCTCCTTTTATATGACATTATTTGAAAAAAGATGTCTTATAAAACAAGTGTTCTGTTAGCTCCTTTTATATGACATTATTTGAAAAGAAGTCTTCTAAAACAAGTATGCTATTAGCCCATTTTATATGACATTATTTGAAAAAAAGGTCTTATAAAACAAGTGTTCTATTAAAAGATGTGTTGATAGAACACTTTTCAAAAGTGTCTAATAAAAGGGCTAATAGGACGCTTTGTTTCAAAAGTGTCCTATAAAAAGCTTGGTAAGACACCTAAAATCTTCATATAAACTTATTACAACACTCTTAGATAGGACACATAATACAAGTGTTGCTCCTATAAATTTGACTCCTATAAATTAATCTATCATGACACTTAAAACACTTTGGGTGTCTTATAAACTCGATATTGTTGTAATGAAGCCCTTTATAATAACACACATATAAATAAGTATGAGATACCATAAAACATAAATTGTTGCAATTTTTATGAGATGGAGAACGTACGTGACTTGTTGTGTTATGTAGGAATGTGAAGTACCATGAACCTGAATACTGGAAATTCGGAGAGGAAGGAAACAAATACTTTTGGCATGCAACGGGGCAGATTTACGCCATTTCCAGCGATCTTGCTGAATATATCTCCACCAATCAGTAAGAACTCTGAAGCTATTTACTTTCTAATTTGATCATGTAACACCCCATACCACATATTGAATGTAACACATATTTCATAGGAAGAAATACATGTTTATACACCACTTAGGTCCCTTAAATACAAGAATTTACCATACATAACACATGTCCCAAAAATTCAAAATACATTTCTTGTACTAATCATCGTTCATCAATCAAAACTATACATCATAAACAAATCTTCATGTAGATATGCATTTAGGAAAATATCACATTTTCCCTTTTCCCTTGCCGTCCGTACCTCCTGCAATACATAATTAAAATCACAAAACGAGGGTTAGACCGAAAGGTCTAGTGAGTTACCCCATTTATGTTATTGCAGGGTGAAAATCACCAAAACTTTGTACAAAAATAACCTTTTTATATATATAACAAATATATGAACAAATAGGAATATATTACCGGTACCTTTCCATTTTTCAAGTCAAGCATTCAACTTTTCAAATAACATACTTCAAACCTTTATAGGTTTGAACCAACCAGGTTTTATATAATGCCACTTTTAAACATTTTCTATTCAAACAAGGTTTATTCAAAGTTGCAGGCCAAACATGTTATTTTCTTCTCAATAATATCCAGACTATGATTTCCAATAAGAACCTTGATCCTAAATCTTTAAATCACAAAGAAATAAAGATTCCAGACTATGGTAATCTTAAGGGATATAATAGAAAGAGTTATATCATAAAACACACATACAAATGCCACCCTTATATCCAATTGTACACATCTCCTTGATATGCCACCCTTATCTCATGGTACACCTCTCCTTGATATGTCACCCTTATCTCATGGTACACCTTTCCTTGATATGCCACCCTTATTTCCTTATCAAAACATTTCACAAAACAATTTCAAATAGACCGCAGTCAATGGAATTATTATTAGTTCAAAATTATCTTTATCAAAATTCCCATTTTATGATAAAATAACATTTTTTATCAATCAAGCACAAGGCATAATACAAATCCGGTCAACATAGGCTTGGCCGGACTTCATCTCTGGTCAAGTCTTGGCCGGTTTATCAAATCAGGACAACACATCGCACAAGACTTGTCCGATTTAACACTTGGTACGAAACCTTGTCCAATTTATCATTTTAAGAGGAAATATTTCAACACTTTTGTCCGGATAACAAATCCGGACAACACTGTTCTCTTTTTGTTCGATTTAAAATAATCTGGTCACCATTTAGTCGTATTCCTACTTCTCCGTTCAAAATGTTTAACATAAACTCAATATTCATACATCGCTCAACACTTGACCGATTTAATCTAATCCGGTCAACCCTCCAGGCGGTTTATTTATAAATCGCCCAAGCCTTATCCGGTTTATGACTTAAGTCGCTCAACCCTTACCCGATTTAAGACTAAACCGCTTATCTCTTGACCGGTTTAGGTCTAATCCGGATAACACTTATGCGATTTAAATTCCAAACCAGATGAAAACACAATCAATTTATGCAATTATCAAGAATTTCAAAACAATTAAACCACTTACCTTTTAAAATTCTTTTGAAACCAATTTGAATCTACTTTGATCCAAAAAGAATCCGGTCAACCTCTTCTCTCTTTAAATCGCTCAAACAGATAGCAAAAATGGTAAGAAGAAGAATATGAAGGTTCTCAACCCCTATTTATACCTCTTTCCAAAAGAGGTATGGCGGTTAAGCCATCTCCCCCCTTCACATACATGCATACCTAACACATATACTCATGCATTCATATGGCATGCATTCATACTCACATACATCATAGGCATGTATGCTCATGTATAAATATTCATATACATACATATATTTTATATGCATACATACATATATTTTATATATATCACATTATGCATATACTTCATATACTCATATGATTAAATGTACAAATTTATCATGCTGACACATAATCACATATAACAAATAATCACATATTTATTAACCCAGGTGACAACCAAGATCTGGTTATCACAGATCAATGGCTTTCGAACCTTGTTTTCCATACCAATTGCAATATGAAAAAAAAATTCTTTTATTGTTTTGCTTGAAATCTTTGCCATTTCAATCAGTAGCCATATAAAACATAAACGAACCTGTGTGATGCCTGACTAAGGGGCCGTTGATACTACACGCTTACCCTGTAAGTGCTTATCAGCTCACTTTACCATATCGAATGAACATCACAAGGATTGAAAATCTTACATGGTAAGAGCGATAAGAAGGACCTAGAATCTTACCAGGTAAGTGAGAGTGTCGGCTCTTACCCCCTAAGTGCTTACTTGATAAAAGTGTTCCACACAATGCCGTTTTAACAGACTAAAATCTTACCTAGTAAGTTAAGTATAAATGTTGACTCTTATAGATAAGCGCTTACCAGGTAAGTATTGGATAAACAACACCAAATCTTCTAAGGATTTAAAGTATAGAGCATATACAATAGCGCTTCTTTTTCACGGTTACAATCTTTCAATAAACATGCATTTTTGCTTGTGGGTCCCACTTTTTTGGAAATTTTTCAGAAAAGGGCACCATTATGGTTTCTTTGTAGATGATCTTAGACTTTGATGATTTCTTTATCAGGCCAATACTACACAAGTATGCAAATGAAGATGTGTCGCTTGGTGCTTGGTTCATCGGTCTCGACGTTGAGCATATTGATGACCGGAACATGTGTTGTGGGACCCCTCCAGGTACGTACTTCTACTAGGAGTTAAAATTTTGGCTTTTAAGTGTCAAAGTCGAGTTTGAGTTTAAACGTTTCACTTTTATATAGAATGTGAGTGGAAAGCAAAAACAGGCAATGTGTGCATTGCTTCGTTCGACTGGAGTTGCAGTGGTATTTGCAGATCCGTGGAAAGAATCAAAGAAGTTCACAAGAAATGCGGCGAAAAAAGTGTAATTACCAGGACCAATTAATATTGAAAATTTAACGAGTTAAGACGTACATAAAATAGACAGTATTCTTGAGAGACAACTATGAAAGATGACCGCTAACTACTACTTCTCTCGGACGACTCTTGTTAGTACAAACATAGAAATTTAGGGGGTGTTTGGGATTGCTTATAAAAATAACTTATTGACTTATTCCGGTATGACACCGGTAATAAACACTTTTCAGTGTTTGGATAAACAACTTATACCGGCGCTAAACCGGTAATAAAGAGTTTTTGAAAAAGTCAAACCCTTCTAACTTATAATAAGTTGATAAACAATTTTATAGAAAAAGATAAGTTGTTTTAAATAAGCTATCCCAAACACCCCCTTAATTGTTACAAAATCAACCTTTAATTTTCAAAATTTACCCTCAAAATGTTTATATTTTGACATTCTTTGATTAATTGTAGCTATAATTTTTTTTTCCATTCGAATTTCAAATTAAAAATAATTTATTTTACACTCAAAGAGTGAACTTATGATTGCATATTTTATAAAATAAAAGTAGGAGATGGTCATTTTAGAACTCGAAAATTGAGTATATGATTTATAAGCTTTGTTCTTAACCAATTTCATATAGAACCTGTTCTTGAAGACACCAATATAAAAGGGTATTATTTTGTCTCACTCGACAACAGAGGCTAGCGAAAAGCACGAAATCGAACCTGTCTTCAAAGACATAATAAATAAATATTTTATTTTATTTGTTCGCTTTCCAAACAAAAAGTTCGAGGCATCGGAAGAATTTTATCGTTATTAAAGCATAAAATATTTTAATATAAGAATCTAAAATCTCCGAGACGAATAATTTGATGAAAAGAATACGATTTATGTAAAAAAAAATTAACCAAGTAAGGTACAACAAATTCCATTCACAAAGAAAAAAACAACAATAAATTATAAATCAAATAAGAATATTTTAACTTTTTCTAAAATATATTAGAAATACTCGGATATATTGATGATGCATGTGAATGGGTGTCACTTGGGACCACAAAATATATAAATTAAAACCAAGATCTAAAAAATAAAAACATATCACAAATCAACCCAAGATTTTTCTTGTATATTTTGAAATCACGTAGGCAGGACAAAAAAATAACCGTTTCGACCCAAACCGGAACGATTAGCTACACATGGCTTCCACGGCAAATTTCTTCATCGCACCGGGGCAAATTTCCCTTCTGAAATTCTTTTCGGTTAACTCCACTTTGCATTCGTTCTTGTTTAAGCATAGCTGCATAAATAACGCGACGACGTTAACATAAACCATGGGGTCGTGGTCTCAACAAGGGGACGACTAGAATTTTTAGTGTGCATTTGGTACATTGACCAGATAGGAACGGATTGGCCAGTATTGGAGGGATCAAAGTGAGGTGGGGGTGAAAAATTGTTGACGGTTTTAGGGTTTTAACTTGACAAGGGTAGTTCGATAATTTACTAACCCGGTCTCTTCTCCCTGATTTTTTTCCACTTATTTTGGTGGATAAAAATGAACTCAGTCTCATCCTGTCCAGTCTAACATCGTGCCACATGCGCGACAAAAAGTTTTTGTTCTGTCATGTCGTTTTCACGTACCAAATACACCTGTAAGGATAAGAAAACTAGTTACCTTTTCGACAACAGAGGTGGAGTAGGGATCATGGCAATCTCCAATGGCGTAGGATTGGCAAGCCCCTGTCGGAGTTCCATAGCTGGCAAANAATAGACAGTATTCTTGAGAGACAACTATGAAAGATGACCGCTAACTACTACTTCTCTCGGACGACTCTTGTTAGTACAAACATAGAAATTTAGGGGGTGTTTGAGATTGCTTATAAAAACAACTTATTGACTTATTCCGGTATGACACCGGTAATAAACATTTTTGAGTGTTTGGATAAACAACTTATACCGGTGCTAAACCGGTAATAAAGAGTTTTTAAAAAAGTCAAACTCTTCTAACTTATAATAAGTTGATAAAGACATTTATAGAAAATGATAAGTTGTTTTAAATAAACAATCCCAAACATCCCCTTAATTGTTGCAAAATCAACCTCTAATTTTCAATATTTACCCTCAAAAGGTTTATATTTTGACATTCTTTGATTAATTGTAGCTATAAATTTTTTTTCCATTTGAATTTCAAATTAAAAATAATTTATCTTACACTCAAAGAGTGAACTTTTGATTGCATATTTTATAAAATAAAAGCAGGAGATGGTTTTTTTAGAACTTGAAAATTGAGTATATGATTTATAAGCTTTGTTCTTAACCGATTTCATATAAAAACCTGTTATTGAAGACACCAATATAAAAGTATATTTTTTTTGTCTCACCCAACGAGAAAGGCTAGAGAAAAGCACGAAATCGAACCCGTCTTCAAAGACACAATAAATAAATATTTTATTTTATTTGTTCGCTTTCCAAACAAAAAGTTCGAGGCATCGGAAGAATTTTATCGTTATTAATGCATTAAATATTTTAATATAAGAATCTAAAATCTCTTAGACGAATAATTTGATGAAAAAAATACGATTTCTGTAAAAAATTTAACCAAGTAATGTACAACGAATTCCATTCATAAAGAAAAAAACAACAATAAATTATAAATCGAATAAGAATATTTTAACTTTTTCAAAAATATATTAGAAATACTCAGATAGATTGATGATGCATGTAAATGGGTGTCACTTGGGACCCACAAAATATATAAATTAAAACCAAGACCTCAAAAATAAAAACATTACACAAATCAACCCAAGATTTTTCTTGTAGATTTTGAAATCACGTAGGCAGGACTACAAAAAAATAACCGTTTCGACCCAAACCGGAACGATTAGCTACACATGGCTTCCACGGCAAGTTTCTTCATCACACCGGGGCAAATTTCCGTTCTAAAATTCTTTTCGGTTAACCCCACTTTGCATTCGTTCTTGTTTAAGCATAGCTGCATAAATAACACGACCACGTTAATATAAACCATGGGGTCGTGGTCTAAACAAGGTGACGACTATAATTATTAGGGTGCATTTGGTACATTGACCAGACAGGAACAGATTGGCCAGTATTGGAGGGATCAAAGCAAGGTGGGGATTAAAAATTATTGACGGTTTTAGGGTTTTAACTTGACAAGGGTAGTTTGGTAATTTACTAACCCTGTCTCTTCTTCTTCCTGATTTTGTTCAACTTATTTTGGTGGGACAAAAATGTCACTCAGTCTCGTCCTGCCCAGTCTAATATCGTGCCACGTGGGACAAAAAGTTTTTGTTTTGTTATGTCGTGTTCCACGTACCAAATGCACCTTTAAGGATAAGAAAACTAGTTACCTTTTCGACAACAGAGGTGGAGTAGGGATCATGGCAATCTCCAATGGCGTAGGATTGGCAAGCCCCTGTCGGAGTTCCATAGCTGGCAAACTTGAAAGCGGAAATGTGCATGTTCATCGGGCATTTTAGCTCCAAATCTGCTTTGTTTTTGTGCAAATCATTGGTAACAAAGGAGGGGTGATCTTCGGATATGTGAGCACAAAGACCGGATAACTTCCGCCTCGAGAACCTAATCTGAGTGGGGTCTCCGCCTTTCTCCTCAAACATCACTAAAACATTGCCCGACGGCTTGAACCAAGACCTTGGAACATAATACCTACGGAATAATAAGGGATTGAGAGATGATATATTGATTTCACTACTACAAAATACGGTTTTTAGGATGCCTAGCCGTCCTGGATGACCTAATAGGACTTCAGTTTATAAGACCAAAAACGACATATAGTTGTAGTGTGTTTTCCATACAACGTATGTGGTTTTGACTTTCGAGGTCAAACACGATGATGTGATCGACTTCTTTGGATATAGTTGCCTATAAGTATCGGTGTTCTTGCTGTATTTATGGGGACGGAAGGGAGATTTTACCATCTTTGTGTCGGTTCTCCGCACCCTGTATTGCATTTATCGGGGTTGAACTTGCCTCTGTAGTCACATGCTTGAACACACTTGTCAATTGGCGTCTTTCGAGGCCAATATCTTCCGATCTGCTCCACGTTCAGCCATGCCAATCCCTTTCCCATGTGAACCATGTCAAGTGCAACGGGTTCGTCTCTTGGCGGCACATCCACAATGACCTATGAGATTTAATAATCAGTCAAGAGTTCTTCAGTTACAAGAATTCATCATAAAACCACATTAGGAAACAAAACGGGACCTAGAAAATGGTCAAAAATGAACGGAGGAGCTTAAGGAGCCATTTACCAACACAAATTTCATTGAGTACCCCATTTTCTATTTCATTGAGTACCCCATTTCCCCTCCCACGATTGCACCCTCAAGACTTATTTCCACTCCCATCCCAAGTGATGAGGAACCAACCCTAGCCCCTTCACCCACGGCTTCCCCAAAACACTTACGGCTTGATTTGAACCAAATGGGGGAGGGGGAGGGTGAGGATGAAGGCTTGGACGATATCACGTTTGATTTTGAAGGTATACCGGAGGGAGGACAAACCGAGACTTACCCATTTGAGACACCGTCAACTTTTGGTGCCGGTAAAAAGCCCGATAAAACCCCCGTCACAGTCCCTACTGTTGAAAGAAGGCAAACTCGTTCATCGAGTCAAGCTTCGGGTGGGCCGAAGACTAGGTCCCAACAATGGCGGGAAAAGGGTAAAGCAAAGGTGACGAAGGCTCTCGATGATGATTATGAGCCAGAAGAGGAAGAAACTCCAGTCCCGACACCGCGTAGGCGACAGACTGCTTCACGCTCGAGAGGTACATCTTCATCTTTTGATGATCGGTTGGAGTTAATACGCCATAATCGATTTTTATGTGAACGGGCTTTTGACCCAAAGCTTAGTGAAAAACTCATGTGCGTAAAGCATCATTTACTTGCACATCATTGGGAAAACATGATAGCCATCCCATGCAAAGTGAACGAGACGTTAGTGAAAGAATTTTTCGCGATGATCGGGACTTCCAAAAATGACACCATCGTTATTCGAGGAACGCA